CGCCTCCATCTTTCGTAAATCTCCTTTCCCTGGTGATATTTTACCTGTTTCTGGAACTCTTTCCTCTGAAATCTATGTTAAAAGTAAGGAAATGTGGGGTCGGGTTTTTCGCTTTTATTTCTTCCTCCCCTTTTTAAAGGTGGTGAGGCCAGAACATAAATGTAGAAAATTCTTACTCATCTTGTGGTCTCTGAGGTGGAGTCAGAGTCTGATACTTTGGCATCTGTTCTCAGTCCTGTCCTGTGGAACCTCTCAGGAGCTCCCGGAAGAGACAGGACATTTGAAAGGCAATCTCAAAGAGAATCTTCTAGAGAGGTAGAGCTGCAATGGATGCTGACCAGAGAAGTCTGGAAATCCACATCTCTCCTTCCCGGCCCAGTGGGGTTGGTTGCATTTCTTGGTCGGGACACTGGTGGTGCTCGTCAAAATTGAGCAGTAAGTGTCACACTAAGGCTGCCTCTAGTTGAAAACTGCTGGGAGCGGTGTTTATTGCACCAAGGCTGCTTCCAGGTGACTTTTCTTTCCTGAGCAAAAGGGAAAGCGGGTGTCTGACTATTCGATACTCTGTCCAGGTTGGCGTCTTCCTTTGTTAATAGCCCTCTTCTAATTAAATTCATTTCTTTCTATTCCATTTCTGTCTTTTCAAGATAGCTGTGCCTTCAACAAAAAAATATTTTAAGGTGTGACTCCCGTTCTCATATGAAAAGGAGACCAAGCTTCCTTTTCCTTTGGGAGCTGTGGCCGAGGAAACTGTCCCTTCTGGCTCAGGGTCCGTGATGGCCACCACTGGGCCTCTGCTGCCCACTGCCCTCGTTCCGTGCGATCTCTGGGGCCCTACTCAAGGTTCAAGTCAGTTCAGGAAGTGTCTGCCCAGAGCTTCATGAGTTCCAAGAGAGATTCCGAACGGGAGACAGAGGCCACTTTCCCATTACACTGAGGGCTGAAGCCGGACAGGCTGAAGCACCACTCAGTTTGAGATAAGAATGAGCTCCCCGACCCACCACACGTCTCCACAGGGGCTTCCCTGAGGGGCATCGGCCTGCTGTTTCCCAGAGGACACCATAGGCAGCAATCCAAGGTTTATTCTAGGTTGCTTGAAAGTCATCCTTTCAGCAAGGGTGGGGGTAAGGGAAGGGGACAACCCAGGGTAAAGGGAGAGAGAGAATGTGAGAGTGTGTGTGTGTGTGTGTGTGTGTGTGTGTGTGTGTGTTATGTGTATTGCTTTGTTCTGACCTAAAGCATCACCCTTCCCCCTTTGTCAAAACAGACTTTAAGGAAAACTGGAAAATTAAGGCCAGTGTCTGGCAGGAACTGAGTAACCCCCACAGATGGGAAGTAAGGAGGGAGCATCTCTTCCCAGATACACAGAAGGAGCCTTCACTGGGTTCTGCATCTTCTGGAGACCCCCTCACTTTCTCCTATCCTTGTTGCTCCCTGAGGAGAAGAGGGCAGAGAAAGGTCTCTGGAAAAGGGGGACAGAGCTCCCTGGAGGGAAGGCGAGGCGAGGCTCATGGACAGGGGCTCCTATGAGAGCCTCCGCCACAGGACCAGGAGTGTTTTCAGCAGACACACTGCATACTTCCGGCGGAGGCTGTTTTCAAAACAGCATCTAGACAAAGACACATAGTGGGAACTGTTGTGTGAAGGACTTGCCAAATGTGCCCAGGTGTCTGGTTTTCTGCCTTCACAATACATCTGACGTAGCTCACCTCACAAAAGAGAGATCTCAGGGGCACTCCACTGGGGTGGAGCCCACAGCTTGCCACTCTCCTTTGGTCACAGCACATGTTGTTACTGTGACTCTGTTTGGGGGCCACATGGGAGGGTACTCACTGCTTGCTCCTGGCAGTGCTCAGGAGATCCAGCGGGTGCCAGGGATCAAACTGGGGTAGGCCATGTGCAAAAGATGTGCCTTACCGCCAGCCCCTAGCCCTCACACAAACTGTCGTCCATTCTGGCTTCTAGTTTGGCTGAGTGGGGAGGAGGGTCGCTCACCTGACGGAGGCAGGCTCCGCACTCTGGCTTCACCCTGCCCACACCCAGGTTCAGATCAGTCGTGGGTGGTGTTTCCTGGGCGGTTTTTCCTGTGCGTCATCCTCTCAGTTGGGTCTCGGCACACCAGAACACAGAGGACACGAGATTGAGTTGGGCAGGGCGTTGTTTGTGGAAGAATCGCACTAAGGGATGCAGGGGTCATGGGAATAAGGGATCCCCACAGCAGGGGCTTGGACACGGGCACTCCTCCCCTCCATCTTCTCTCCCTACTCCTCCCCTCCTGCCTCCCCTCTGTCCTCCTTTCCTCCCTCCTCTCTGCCCTCCATCCTCCTCTCCTTACTTCCTCTCCTCTCTCTGTCCACCTCTCCTCTCCTCCCCCCTCCATTTCCTCCTTCTCTCCTCCTTCTCCTCCTCTCTTCTCTTCTCTCCCCCACCCCCTCCCCTGGATCAGGGCGGAGCCTGGGAAATAGCCAAGATGTCTCTGTGTTCCAGCAGATTTGTCACACACACACACACACACACACACACACACACACACAGAGTCCTGGGCAGTGGAGTTCCCCCTGTTTAAGAGAAACTAGAAAACTTCTTTTCCCTGAGATCCAGTGGTTCAGAAAACACTTTTTTTTTTTTTAAAGAAAAACCATATTGCAGAACCAAGCAAATATGCCACAATCTGATTTCAGCTTCAGGGTCCTCAGGTGTCAAGGTCTGTGGCAGAGTGTGAGCTTCCTAAGTCAGTCTCTGACTGTAAAAGTGCCTCCTCTCAGGCTAATAGAGTCACACATTTTTAGCAGAACTGAATCTTGATTTAAAATAATTTAAAGTATTTCTCCAAGTTGCTCATTAAATGGACCCAGAACGGGGCAAGGACAGCTTCCCCCATTCCCGGCTTAGGGGTTTTCCTCCCGCCTACAATAATTCTTAGACAGACGTAGGTGATGCTCAGCTGGCTCCTTGCAGCAATTATCCGGCAAACTCACCACATTTGTCGGCTAATCTCGAGGATAGACCCACATCTGTTTAATGAAATGCCGCACTCTCTGAGCTGTCTTTCTGGACCACCCAGGATGCGACGACCTATTGCTGGCTCTGGAATAAATGTTAGGACTTTTTTTTCTCTTTCTTTTACTTTCTCTTACTCTCTTTTGTTTCTTTAATTAAACAGTAAACCCACGTAGCTGATGTTTTTTTAATATAACGAGGGATGATACAAATATTAGTATATATTACTATTGTGCCATACGTTACAGCAAGCATTAGATATGTGTGTGTTGGTGTACACACACGTGCACACGCGCACACACACACACACACACACACATAGGGAGGGAGAGAGATTTAACTTAATTTTCATAAATCTCTTAGAGGCAGGCACTATCATCATCATCTCTTCCACACATAAGTGGGCTATGCAACTTGGTCCCAAGATCCCCCAGTTAGAGCATTGGAGCCCCAAGGCCCCCCTAAAGTCTGACTCAGGGGGGTGTTCACTGCCACCCGAAGCCCAGAACTCTGTTATCAGATGGTCTTTATTTTTCTCCTGTAAGTGTGGAAAAAGGAATTATTTCACAGCCCACATGCTTTGAAAATACCATAATGAAAAAAAAGGAACATTGAGGAAATTTGGAAGCACCCTCCCCTCCCCTCACCCTCCTCCCCTCTCCTCCCCTCTCCTCCCCTCTCCTCTCCTCCGCTCTTCTCCTCTCCTCCTCTTCCTCCTCCTCTCCTCTTCCTCCTCATCCTTCTCCTCTTCCTCCTCCTCTCCTCTTCCTCCTCATCCTCCTCCTCTTCCTCCTCCTCCTCCGGGAGCACCCTCCCTTCCCCTCTCCTCCTCCCCTCCTCCTCCTCCTCCTCTGGAAGCGTCCTCCCCTCCCCTCTCCTCTCCTTCCCTCTCCTCCCTTCCCCTCTCCTCCTTTCCACTCGCTCCTCCTCTCCTCCTCCTCCCATCCTCCTCTTCCTCCTCCTCCTCCTCCTCCTTCTCCTCCTCCTCTTCCTCACGTCTGTGACCCAGATCTGAATCATGAATTTTCCTGAGATTCGTGATCCCCATGAGGCAAAACCCCATCATGAACTTGCTGCATCTCACAGTCTCGTGGTCTTTCCTCAGAAATAGTCGATGCTGACACACCTGCAGGAAGCATGTCCCGTTCCTTTCTCGACGAAAGGAAGAGACCCACCAACAAACAGCTTAGCCTCAGACTAAGAGTTCATGTAGTCGAGGAATGGTTCAGGGCAGGGAGACTAATTTAATCATACGCAAGTTTGCTAAGCCCCCTGGTGTTTTTAATAACTATTAATACATTAAGCTTACTTTTCATGAATAAAATCCTTTTATTATTAAGGACCTAAAAACATCTTCCTCTTTATGATTCATGGTGAACTCAGTGATCACCATTTGGCAAAGGTTCACAATTATTCCTGTTAATTTGTTTTTAAGAGTGTTTTATATATGTGATTTATATATGTGCCCCATCCTCCACCACATGCATTTTGCATGTTTACTAATTGCAGCCTTATTCATGTAAGCCGTGTTATTGGTAGCAAATGAAGCATAAAACATGAAAAATGTAGAATGATTAGGGAGTTGAAATTACAGTTTTTAACACCTTCCAGAACTGAGATGTTATCATTCAACTTTGACGGCCTTCTTTTTGAGGCGAGGCAGTGTCCCAGAGAGACTGGGTGACGGTTTCTTACCTTCCTGACTCCTTGTAAATTACCATTTGCCATATTCCTTAATGGACATAAATGCCCCATTCAAAAATAATGCAGGGCCCTGGAGAGCTAGTGCTCCCCCTCCCGCCCCGAGGTGGGTACGCCCCGGCACAAATCCACACCCCTGGAGAGACAAGGGAGAGAACTCTGCTTGTTCTGTCACGGCCAAGACCATAACCAGGTCAGCATCAAGACTGTGACCTGTTCAACACACAACCCATTTGCGGCTGTGTCCAGGGAACGGTTCTGTGCAGTGTCTGCCACAATAACTTGGGACTCTCTTTCAGACAATCCATGGACACAAGGGACCAATCACTGCAGTGGCCTTTGCTCCCGATGGACGGTACCTCGCCACTTACTCCAACACCGACAGCCACATTTCTTTCTGGCAGGTAAGCATCGATGCGGGCGCGTTGGGCCCTTGGGGAATACCGCAGGGTGTGCTCTCCCTAGGAAGGGCTTCCCGTGAGGCTCCCTCCTGCCCATTCCCACTGTGGTCTATAGGTAAGGAGCGGATGCGGTTTGCTTGAGGGCGCATCTGGTGGCAGCAGGGTATAGGGGAGGAAGGGGGAGAATACTGTTAGTAGAGGAAGGGTGAAGTTTCTGCTCTGGTTCTTCCACTCTGGTTCCAAGGGAGACCCAGGTAAATAAGCAAGTCCTCATGATCCAGAGAGGGAGAGCACTGGGGGATGGGGTGGGAGGGAGTGCCATTGGAGCTGAGCCTTGGTGCCTCCAAGGAAGGGCAGGGAAGAGGGTTGCTCTGCGGGCAGCTGGGACTCAGAGCACCAGGACCGGGCGTGAAAGAAAGCACATGGGCAGGGAGCGCCAGTCACGTGGCTCAGCTGCCCAGGACAACTCCCCAGCATTGGAGTGCAGAGGACCAAGCATTCGCCCCCCGTCTGTGCACTGTCACGCATCTCACGTCTGCACAGCAAAGTGCCTTTCCTACCTGATGATCAGAGCTCAAGCCAGGCCACTAGTTTTGTTGACCGGCATCTTGGTACCTCTGGGTGAAGTCTTAGGAAAACGAATGGTCACATGTTACTCTGGGCAAAGTCTTAGGAAACCAGTGGTCACATGTTTCCATCTGAGAACTTGCTTTATCCTCCGTCATTAGTCTCTCTTGACCTTCTTTTGAGTGTCCTCACTCTGAAGAATTAACCAAGAAGCGAAAAAACCTTTCCAGCCTCATCCCCAAAAGTTGATTAAAAAATTTACTTGGCTACCTTGATTTTTCCCAGATGCAAGTATGTTTTCTAACACTGACTTTATTGCTTTGAAAGCTAAAAGAAAAAGAGACAAAAAAAAAAAGTCTAAACAAGGCTTCAGCACAAACTTGATGATGGTTTCTAAAAAAAAAAAAATCAATAGCTAATAAAATGTAAAACAGATACAATAAATCACGTAATTAACAGCATGCTATTAAAGCAAGGCAACTTCCAAATCAGTCAGAGACTTTTCTGCCCTTCCTTTAATTTAGTTTTCCTGCTTATAGTCTCATTATCCTCCCTTCTAGAAACTATCTCCAACACCTTCATTCGACCCTATTAAGCCCTGTGGCTTTGGCCATCTCCCACCGTCTTCGTATGTCCTACTGGGTAACCACAGGACTGCTCGTATTTTACACTCTGAAATCGCACAGTGTGTCGATCCGGTGTCCATAAATGGCCTCTGCCCGGGGAGTCCTTAAAGACTCTTCCCTACTCTTCTCTACTGCTTCCTGCTCCTGCCTGTCCCAGCCGGTGCTGGCGTCTGCCCTGTAGAGGTACGGCTCCAAAAGAGCCCACCCCCACTTCCAAGAAGCTTGTGTTTTGTCCACATCGCCTCCTTCGGGATAAACAAACATGAGTCTCATTTTGTTTAACTTCTTTTTTCCTGCTAGGAAATAAATTCCTTCTATCAGGAACATGGGTAGGGTGTTTGCCTTGCACGTGGCCGACCTGGGTTTGATTCCCTCTGTTCCTCTCAAAGAGCCTGGCAAGCTACCGAGAGTATCCCGCCCGCACGGCAGAACCTGGCAAGCTCCCTGTGGTGTATTCGATATGCCAAACACAGTAACAGCAAGTCTCACAATGGAGACGTTACTGGTGCCCGCTCGAGCAAATCGATGAACAATGGGAGGACAGTGCTTCAGTGCATATCAGGAATACTTCTTAGAAGTGTGGGTTTGCCCTAATACTTCCCCCGAGTTTCTCATGCCAACCCTGTGTCCCTTCCCATGGTTCTATCTCAGCCCTTCCTGAACATGTTTTTCCTTTCCTAGCCAAGTTTCTGCCCAGACCATGGGCGGCGCTTTGGTCACCCTCTTTTTAGAAGGGACCCCATGATCAAGCTCAGTCGTTAGTTGCTGTCTCTCTGAGATCCGTCCTTCCGGCTACAGTTCTCCAGGCCACAGCGGTCATGTCTGGCCTCTGCCTGGTACACAGGAGCCTGCATGCCTGCACATGTGCCTTGGTGCACCAAAAAGTGGTCTCTGAACTCCCTCTGCTCTGCCACTGCCACTCCAGAAGCTGCCACTCCCGGCATCGAACAGATAGAACACTAGGACAAACCAGCCCCACCAGGTCACTCCTGCTCAAAACCCACTGCCAGAATCAAAAATGCCGCCATTCACTTAGATGCTTTTGTTATCCTTGGCTTAGTTGTTAGGTTTTTTTTTTTTTAATTGCATCACCGTGAAACACAGTTACAAAGCTTTCACGATCAGGTTTTAGTCATACAATGTTCCAACACCCGTCCCTCCACCAGTGTACATTTCCCACCACCAGAGTACCTCTCTCCCTCCACACACACCCCCCTGCAGTTTTCTTGTTTGTTTTCTCTCTCTCTCTCTCTCTCTCTCTCTCTCTCTCTCTCTCTCTCTCTCTCTCTCTCCTCCCCCCCTTCCTTCCTCAGTTTAGTCTTATCATTTAAGTGAAAGGCACAGACACACCATTTCCATGTTGTCATGAAAACCTCTTCCAGAGTAGAGCAGCGGGATGGAGAGTCTGACGGGCAGTGCTGGATTCTCACCCTGCTGTCCTCGCAAGGGGCTGATACACACACTGTTTGGTTCTTACAAAATATAATGATACTTCAGCATCGTTCCAGTAAATGTGCTGCAATATATTTTGAAAATGTAATGAAGCCTTATGAATACGAAACCCTACAAAAGCTCTCAGCTATTAAAATCTTTGTTGAGAAATGAGTGTTAATGAGCTATATTGGTTGAATAATTACTCAAGTGAGACTTAATAAAAGGTTGAGTGTGGCATTACTCACACTTAGAAGAGCACTAAAACACTTCCTGTTGTGATGAATTACGTGTGTGTGTGTGTGTGTATGTTTGTGTATGTATGTGTGCGTGTGTTCAGAAAATAATAATCTTCATGCAGCTGGTTTTCGTGAATCCTTCAATCTTAAAGGGGGAAAGCAAGTTTATTTGAAGTGATTGTCTCTGGAAACAAGATGTTTGCTTTCTTATCCATTCTTTTCTGCATTTTCTCCAATCAGTAGGTGTTATCCTGGTAATCAAGCAAAAAATTAATGTTCGCACATTTTACAATTCCAGTTGCCTCTCACTCAAGGATACTCCAATTGCCTTTACTGTAGCATCGTTTGTCAGGAAAACATAATATCAAATAATGGAGTGGTTCATTGTTTTGGTGAGAATGCTTTGGCTGAGCTAACTTTGAGAATTAGTGCTCTCCCTTTCTACTTCCGCTTCGTCTTCAGTTGGAGGTTGCTGTGGAGGAACAAAAAGTCTAGTCAGCCTGCAGTTCCTCACTGAAGCATGTGTAGTGAGGGTGTACTCGGAGCATTTCACATAACCTTGTTCAAGAAGACAGTTTAGCTCTATCAGAGGCATTTATTACTGTATTCACTGATTTCCCAGCCCAGTGAGGGAGAGCTCAGCTAGTGAGGAGTACCCAAATATAATAATTTCTGAAATCTTTCCATTTTTACCATTTCAATGGGATATTTTCTCTCTGTCCCTCCTATTTTCTCTGTGTCCTCCTTCAGCCTGTTCCTTGCCAGGGGCTGACCTGAGAGGAAGGCATTAAAAATAACAACATGTCTGAGGCGACTAGAAACCGTTAGCATTTTCAGCCACCTGCAGAAATCAAGCTTCATACCTATTTTCATAAAAAAAAATCCATAAAGAATGAAAAATACTTTGTAGTTATTTATCAACTGAGAAATTAGATTTTTTTTTAAGAGCAGTATGCTTGTTGAGGCCAGTTCAATTTAACCAGCAATTTTCTGGACCATTTGGGTCTGCTCTACGAGAGGACTAAGTTATTATGAGTAGTTACTTTATGTACAATTGAGTACTAGGAAATCAAACTCACCATCATTGTTTCAATCGACACTATTTGGTAACCTCCAGAACACACAAAAACTCTGATTTTTTTCCTTCTCTCTCTCTCTCTCTCTCTCTCTCTCTCTGATTTTGGGGAAAGGGAAGGGAGGCAGCAAGAAAAGAGGATGGCTTGCCTTCCGGCTCAACAGAATCTCAGCGGAAAGAGTTAATGATAACCATACATTTGGTTTTAAAATGTGACCTCGCACACTAGTGATTTTTTTTTCACCTCTGTGTTGTGTTCGGCACTATTATTAATGCAGGAAAATCAGTAACATTAGTCATCTTAAAAGGGTTATTACTCAAGATGATTTAAATTGTGAAAATGTCAGTGGAGCCCGCGTGCATCCTGCTGGAGGAGCCATGATTTACACCCTCTGACACCCGGCCAGGACGCGGGCCCGGGGAAGCGACGGTCCTGCCCGGCTCTCATCCCAATGCAGCTCGTACTGCAGCCGTGGCGGCCACACATCTCCAACATCCAGGGTTGGCCAAGGGTTCAGGTGTCCGCTGTGGGTGCTTACTGGGCCATCATCTGCTTGGTTCCCGCAGACCCCTGGGTGCTGAGATGCCCCGAGGGAGGGACCAGAGAGAAGCAGGAAACCAGCAGGAAGAACTGCTTCTCGATCCCTCTGGTTTGGGACCTGCTCCCGTGTGATGGTGTGGGACAGAGGGTCTGCATGTGGCGAGGAACCTGCCAGATGAATCCTGCGAAGAAAAGCTCCTCCCAATCCAGCCCTCAGAGCACAGGCCCCCAGAGAAGTGACCTTCACTGCATCCAGGCTTTGTCCTTTGTCCTGGAGGCGGCCAGGCTCTCCGGCTGTGGTTTCTGTGTCGTCGTTCCCTCTGAATGGATTCAGGACACGTTAAAAAAAAAAAAAAGTTCGATCCAGGAAAGCGACTCCCCCAGAATAGCCCAAGTCACCCGCTGACCAAAGTACTCGCAGTCAGGGCGGGAGGGACATGGGCAGCCCCGAGCCACGGGGGGCTGCAGCTGGGTCTGGGGTTTCCCTTCACATGCCACCAAGACTTTGCAGAGACTCATTCTTAGAAAAGCAAGTCAGATGGAGGCACTAGAAGTCAGCAACCTTCCTCCCCAGGGGCCTTCTTTTCCCGGGTTCATCCTTCAGGAGATGCAGTGAGCATCTCAAGAGACCTTTGGTGCCAAGTGCCCCCGGACCCTAAATACCCCAAGTAGCACTGTGTGGTGCTGGGCTCCGGGTGCCAGATGCGTCTACGCAGTAAACAGGCCTGGGGGCGGGGCTGGGTGGCGGCTCCCCACTGACTCACCGACCCATTGACCCACTGACCACTGCTCTCCTGCAGATGAACACGTCCCTGCTGGGCAGCATCGGCATGCTGAACTCGGCCCCGCAGCTGCGCTGCATCAAGACCTACCAGGTGCCGCCCGTGCAGCCGGCATCCCCCGGCTCCCACAACGCCCTGAAGCTGGCCCGGCTCATCTGGACGTCCAACCGCAACGTCATCCTGATGGCCCACGACGGCAAGGAGCACCGCTTCATGGTCTGAGGCCCGGCTCCCCCGCGTGCGTGCGCGCGCTGCGGCCACCAGCGCCACCGCATCTGCGTCCTTTCCTTCCACGCGCCCGGCCGCGACCCCGCCCCGCTCCCCCCTTGCCCTGGACCATCCGCAGCGGCCGCCCACGTGGGGGCCTGTCCCAGGGAGTGGCCGGGCTCCGTCACTCCTGCATTGCTCTCCAGGGCAGGTAGCGCTCGCGCCACCCATACCATGCGCCTGGCAGCAGACGGTGGCCTGCGGGGTCACCGGGAGGCGATTTTCCCTGTCCGAGAGGGAGGGGAAGCCCAGAGGGGCCGGGACCCTCCTGGTACCCGGTGTGCCAGGAGCGTGAGCGTCAGCGAACACTGTGACCCGTGGCCGGGCCTGCGTTTTCCTCCCCTGCGGGTCTCTGATGGGCTCCCGCCCGTTGGACGTGGTGGGGTTCGGAGGGACCCAGGGAAGTCCTGATAACCGAGATTCTTTTCCTCTGGCTGTCCTCCCACGCGGTGTCGTTTACCAAAAGGATTCTGTGTTTACATGGTTCTTTTCTTCCAAGTGATGGTAGTGTAGCCACCCAGTAAGGAATCACCCCCCACCCCCACTTCCTGAGATTTTTTTTCCCGTGTGGAGAGTATGGCTTCCCAAACACCCCGCTTTCCAAAAAATGCTCATGTTCTGCTTAAGTGCTAGTATAGTTAGTCGTTTAATTTTTTTTTTTAAATCACAACTTATGATCTAGCTAGGATAATCGTCCGGTTACGAAGACTAATCTCCTGAACGGGCTTTGGGAAAATGAGGATCCCGGTTGGGTAGACAGCACACTCTGGAGAGGAGACTCCTGCGTCTGTGGCTGTAGATCTCCGCCTGCAGAGCGAGCTCGCCTGCCCAGCTGCAGTTCCCAGGCATACCGTCGGTGCCCATCACCATCTGGTAGTTAGAGTGCAGGCTCCTGCCGCTGCTCCTCAGAGCAGAACTACAACAGCGTGTCTTCCCAACGGCCATGCTAGGAAACCTGCTAGTAACTATTGCCCGAGCCTTGGGGAGCACGTCAGGCTGCAGGGGCGCTGAGGGAGTTGCTGTGAGGGTGTTCGTGGCACTCAGAGTGAGCAGGCTCCAGGGAGCCATCACCCACTTCTGTCCGCCATGTTGGTTCTTGTTCATTGTAAGAAGTGCGTAAGAGAGTATTTTGTATGAATGCCCCTGACCATCCTTGATTTGTAAATAGTGGGGGGATTTGCTTGATTCATTGATGATGGGATGATGAGTTGGGCAGACTGGTGTGTTACATGTAAAAAATAATAATAATAATATATAGATGACTTGTGAAATGCAGAGGAAATGTGAAGTTTTCAAAGGAACTTAAAAGCAGAGATTGTCAGAATATATGTACTATATCCCCCTCTCCCAAAGTGGGCTTACAATCCAGGAACAAATACATGTTATTTCACTGGAACAGATTTCTCAAGAACATATGAAGAAATGAAGACCCTTAGAATGTCTCGTATAGCTATAGATAGGAAGTATTTTATTTCCATTGATGGCAAACCTGTACTCTTCCTTGGTTTTTTCGAATTTGAGTGTTCTTCCAAAAGTGGATTTGTGCCACTTGCATGAACATTGTATTTATAAAGATTATATATGTAGTTTTCCAGAAAGAACAAAGAACTATACATTGTAGACTTCGTTTGGGGAACCTATTCTTGTGTGTGCTACTGATAGACAACCCTGGGGTGAACAAAGGTGTTCTTGTTATCAGGTGGGCGTCTAGACCCAGCCTTTTGCGGTCCAACACTTTATTGGGCGGACCTCAGTGGGGACATATTTATTCTGGGCAACACGGCCTTTCGGGAATCATAAAGTAAATGTATACCTTAGCTATATTTAAAAGCGTGTTTGGCGCATATGGAGAAAGAAAGATGTGGGCAAGGGGCTGGCCAGCTCAGAGGCAGGATGGAATGTCCAGTGGAGGGCAGAGCAGCAGGACAAGGACGAGTCCCTGGCATGCATGTCCGGTTCATGAAGCCTCGTCACTGGCCTGCCAATTGCTGGGGTGCTGGAACGCTGGGGTGGGTGATGGTTGCAGGGGAGGCCAACCTTTCCAAGCGTTAGATTAAGATCCGCACTCTTGTAACCTTTCTCCTGTCTTGGCAACCACGGCGGCAAATCTCATTCCAGCTTAGGCTTCCCAACACGGAGGTAAACTGTGTCCAGTCACCCTCACCTACAGTCTTAGTGTTCTATCGATTTCCTGATTTCCTTGCCACTGTATCTGAACCTGTCCTTGTGAATGTGGAGACACACATGGCTTCATTGGTCGCTTCAAAGCAGAAGACAGGGCGGGGCACCCATGTGGAAGTGGAGCAAGCACGCTCACCGTGTCCTGGTAGATGAGGGCGTCTGCCCCGAGACGTTTCTTGATGATCCAATTTAATAGATCCTGTAAGTGTTGAATGTCCCTGTGTACATATGTGTGTTAAATAAAACCGAATTGTACTGAAGATTGTTTATCTCGTTTAAAAACTCTTCTTTTTTTTCCCCCTTTACGTGTTTCTTAGTTGAAATTCATATGCTCTCCACTCCCCCCATTCCATCCCACCTCCTTCAGTACCAAATTAAGCTTTTGTTTCTGATGGCTCATTTCCCTGGAGAGTGAGCCTCAGGAAAGGCAAACTCCAGCACAAAGCACAGTAGCCCTCCAGAGCAGGCTGCGGAGAATCAGAGACAGCCGCAGACCAGAAACTCAACAGCGCCCCCTGTGGTTTGGGCAGGGGCACTGCAGGCATGCTGTTTCATCCCCACCCCAACGTTCTTGTAGGTAGATGCTTTATTTTACCAAATTAAATCTTGTCAGATCTGATGACCTGGGTTGGCTGCCCTGTCATGAGGGGCTGGGCTGAGATAATTACGTTCATTTCATTTAATGTTGAATTTGAATCCCTGAAGAAAAAAAGGTGTAATTGGTTTTTAGAACAAAAATACGAGAGTAACAAATGAGGTCCTCTAACTCCCTGAGGTTGGTGCACATCCGGAGTCTGTGGACTGCCTTCAGGAGCCAACATGGAACAGCTTGAACGGAGTCTGTCGTCCAACTGCTCGAGTATGCGCATCAGAGGTGTTGTGGAGGGTGCCACATCTTTAGCCCTATTTAAATATCCATTGTCCACCCCAGGACTTGACTTTGGTGAATCCTTATAGGGAAACGAGGGATAGCCACAGGAGCCCTGTGTGCTTGGTGATCACATAAACGGATCCAATGTGGAAAGGCCATGACATTAATAGGAAGGTAAAGCCAGGCAGTGCCGAATGAACTTTCACCTTTCACCCCTTCGGCTGACTGACAGAGCTGAGTGTTGAAGAAAATCAATACTTTGGAGCCAGGAGGGAAATATTTCCAACCTCTAACTAGAGAATGTATTTTGACAAGGCCAAGATAATCCAAGCTGCACGGGAGAAAGAGAAAAGAAGACTCATTTTTAAAGCTTGACACTTCAAGGTGTTTTTCTACAATGGTTTCGAGAGCGTCGATACATACAAATACCAGAGGTCAAAAAGAAAAGCCAGAAGAATTTCAAAAATGGAATGTTCAGTTCTATTTGCTGTTTACTAACTCAAAAAGACCCCAGAGAGATCTGTGCTTATAATTGTCATTGAAATGAACCAAGCTCCCAGTTGTGTGCTTTGAGGTGACCATCCCTTTTTAGCCAAACCGTTGGCATTGAGTCAGCACGATGAGTGTTTAATGCCAGCAGGTGTGTGGGTGCCCTGCCATTCACAGAGAGGGGGCCTGAGTGGCTGTCATTGAACGCTAGTGTCCCTGATCTCCATGTTGGATCCCGTTCATCCTGTCCCCATGACTTCCTAAATCCCAACCCTTCTGTCCCACTTGAGAAAAGATCCTCTGTACCTGAGGAATGAGAATGGCCTTTAGTTTCCCAAGGCCCTTTAAGCAAATGACTTAGAAAAGAGCTCTAATCACTGTTCTCCTAAGCACCTCCAGGAAGAAGGTAAGTTATTCTCTTAGTTCTGACCAGTAAGATTAGTTCCCTCCCTGGTGAACAGACACTTCTGTCAAATGGTTACAGTCTTCCATCTTTCTTACCCTCAGATAAGAAAACCAAGTCAAATGGTACCCAGACCTTCCAGCCCAGCTCAGCAGGACCAAAGAATCCTAAGTACTCCAAGAACTCAAAGGAATCCTGTTTTCTTAGGGAAGTGACTCCTTGAGGCATGCTAGAAGTATATATTAATGATGTAATTATGAAAGTAACAGAGAAGTATATACTCTTATGAAAAAAATTCAGAGAGCATTAATTTAGCTTTTGTTTCAGAAAGAACCCTGCCAGTCACAATATTCTGAGATTTCCTGAAAAAGACCAGGAATCCAACCCATGCCTGGTTTTTGTAGGTGTCAAATACATAGTAATTGAATTTGTTAAACCCATGAGATTATATCAGCAAAATGCTTTCTTTCAAGGGTGGCACATAGTCAGGACTCAATACATGTGAGTTAAGCAGCTTCAGTAAATTTTGAGAAATTCTTACTTAGAATGAACACACACTTAAAATTACTTTTATTCTTCAGGAAATGTCACATTTTTTCATTTTTGTGGTGCTTTTAAGCTCTGGGTTCCAAGAATAGATCTGGATGTCTTATTCGAAAACGACTCTCACTGTTCTCTCCCTATTTACCAGGACTCAGACACGTGGCTATGTGTCCGTGGCTCTTCACTTTCCACAAATTTGTGGGCAATGACGAAGGGCCAGGATGCTTGCCAGAGGAGGAGGATGGGTTGACATTAGCTACAGATGCCCTACTGGGTCCTCAAAGAGAAAGAAATTCACTAGGATTAGGACTCACAGATGCTTCAGGGCTGACTTTGAGTTATGTAAACTGGTACTTTCTCAATATACATCCCTTGACACTGAACAAATCTTGGGACAAGATCGGTAAAGGTAAAGGTAAAGGCCCTCCCGTTGTTCATCGATTTGCTCGAGCGGGCCCAGTAACGTCTCCATTGGAGATTTTGTTGTTACTGTGTTTGGCATA